ATGGCTTGCATGAAAGCACAGGACCCAAGTGACCCAAAGCAGATCACAAGCTGTGCTTTAGCCCCCTGTGTCTGCTGCCAGGACCTGGACACAAGACAGAGCAATGGCCTGGAGGCAGTTCTCCCCATGCAGAGCCCACATCTCTGTGTGCCATAACAGCTGGATTCCCAGCATCTGCTGGGGGGTGAAGAGGAGAATTTGAATCTCCAGTCTGAGGAGGCAGCTGCAGCCCAGTGTCCCTTCCCCCAGCAAACAGCTCTCCCCACCAGGCCCCAGCCCCGTGCCCCCATGGCATCAGCTGCCATGTGGAAAGAACAAGCTGGGCAGCTGAGTGCTGGGCCTCTGAGGCTGAGTCTCACAGAGGTGCCGACAGCTGGGCAGAGCCAGGAGGTCCTGCATTTCCCTCTCCCCCTCCACTGCCTCCAGCAGCTGCTGCCCCCATTCCTGTCACTCTGTCCCTTTGTGTCACAGGGTTGGGATGTGGAGCTATTTCTGTCCCCGTCAGTCTCTAAGGCAGTGGCTGGCTCTGCATCAGCCCCTCCTGCCTTGCCCACAGTCCCTGTAGGGACAAGCTTGGGCACAGGCTGTGATGGGGTCGCACAGACAGAGTGTCTCAGGTGTGAGCCTTGGCCCAGGAGGGGCTGTGACAGGGGCTCTGCCCAGGGGGCATTTGCCAGAGGGAGGACAGGAGTCTCTCTTGAGCCTAGTGCTTTCCTCAAATGAGGTGCCCAGGGCTTGGGCTCAGGTTGTCAGCTCAGTCTTGGGTCTGGGGCCTGACGTGGGCAAAAGCCCAGCCCTGCCCAGGGCCCAGTGGACACAGAGTGTGCTGGGAAAAGGGACAGTGAAGGCAGAGGCCAGCAGAGATGTGGTGACTCTGTCCCATCCCAAGTTCAAAGCCCACATGTGGGGCACTGCTATGGTGCAGGAAGTGGCTGCAGGAAGCATGGCTGTCCCAGGGAAGGGGCTGGGGTCACTGATACAGGGTCAGGGTCACTCACCTGCGTGTCCTCAGACTCTGCTGAATCCTGCAATCAAACAGCAGAGAGGTGAGACTTCACACAGCAGAGACACTGCAGCAGGACCCAGCACTGACACTGGGGCAACCCTGCTGTCCCCAAGTGGCCAAACCCCTGGGGCTGCCTGGAGCTGGGGCAAGGGAGGACTCAGGGTTGCAGTGTTTGGCTTCAGATCCCTGCAGCAGCCAGGGGAGAATTGAAGCACTCACGACTCAGGGAGTCCCAGAGCAAGGGTCCCGTCAGCAGCACCAATCCTGCCCCATTGATCTGACCTAGAGGAGGGGGCCATAGTCCTGCCTGGGTGGGGAAATGTTGGCTTCACATTGCAGCCTATTGGGGAATCGGTGTCACTGTGCAGCCATCACTTCTCCATGCCCTGGTGTCTGGGGTCTCAGTTCTCAGCCTTCCCTTCTCGGCAGCCCTGGCTTGGTCCCTGTGCACATCTGCGTGCTTGTGTCTCAGACCGTTATTATCTCACAGCTACAGGCACATGTCTGGCAGTCCAGCTGCATATCTAACCAGGCCCACCCATGGACCTCCTCCCCACAGGGCCCAGCTCAGCACCGTCTCCCCGCAGATACGGGATGAAGAGTACCAGCTCCCCCTCAGCTTTTTCTGACCTATGCCCTTGACACTCACTCCTCTGCTGCGTTTCACTCATTGGGACAGTAATTTTACACCACCCTAAATCTCGTGTGATACCACCTCTCACATCCAAGATAGAAAACAGATACTTCACACACTCCTCCACCACTGGGTCCAAGCCTGGCATTCAGGTCTCAGATGGAAGTAAATGACATCAGTGTCACTTCGCTGATGTTGCAGAACTGTGCATGTTCTCTATGAACTGAGATATGGGCCCCAGGTCCTCAGAGCCATGTGGAGGGTATTGCCTGGACATTTGGAGTACTCCTATGAAAAACTAAAGAACATGAGGAGTCTCAGCTGTGTGAGTTAACGAGGCAGGAGCCCTGGGGTAACAAGGTCATCAGGAGTTCAGGTCTTAGTGGACATTAGCTGGGGTTTTTGCTGGAGTCATAAATGCATTTCCTCCAGTGCTGCTCACAGCCTACCTCAAACTCACTGTTCATAAATGGGTTTGATAACTGATACCACATTGCGCTGCACAACTCACTTGGATATTGCTTGTCATAGGCAGAGGATGCAGTACCACACATTTCCAGCACACAAGGATGGACACTAACTCCTATTGCTGCTAATATTCTCCATAGACTTCAGGAAGGCCTTCAATACGGTATCCCACCCCATACTGGTGAACAAGCTAAGAGGCTGTGACTTGGATGACTACACAGTCCGGTGGGTGGCAAATTGGCTGGAGGGTCGCACCCAGAGAGTCGTGGTGGAGGGGTCGGTTTTGACCTGGAAGGGTGTGGGAAGTGGGGTCCCACAGGGTTCGGTCCTTGGACCGATACTCTTTAACGTCTTCATCAGTGACTTGGACGAGGGAGTGAAATGTACTCTGTCCAAGTTTGCAGATGACACAAAGCTATGGGGAGAAGTGGACACGCCGGAGGGCAGGGAACAGCTGCAAGCAGATCTGGACAGGTTGGACAAGTGGGCAGAAAACAACAGAATGCAGTTCAACAAGGAGAAATGCAAAGTGCTGCACCTAGGGAGGAAAAATGTCCAGCACACCTACAGCCTAGGGAATGACCTGCTGGGGGGCACGGAAGTGGAAAGGGATCTTGGAGTCCTAGTGGACTCCAAGATGAACATGAGTCGGCAGTGTGACGAAGCCATCAAAAAAGCCAATGGCACTTTATCGTGCATCAGTAGATGCATGACGAATAGGTCCAAGGAGGTGATACTTCCCCTCTATCGGGCGCTGGTCAGACCGCAGTTGGAGTACTGCATGCAATTCT